ATCGAGGCAGTGAGGGGGGCAAAGTGAAATGTCGCGTCTCGGACAGCAACGCCAACGTCAACGTGAATGCCGACGCCGAGGGGGACGGCGAAGAGGAGGTGGAGGAGGAGAACAAGAGACTGACCATTTGTTGCTCTCCCCTACGGCCTGTGGTGTCGGACAGCAACAGCAACAGCATTGACGTCAGACTCGTCAGAAGCGTTGCCAACACCCCGGCTGCCAACGCGACTGTCTCGATGCCGTTTTCTGGCCTTGCTTTTGCGTCGGCAACCAGCTCAGCACAACTGCCGCTCTCGCTCTCCTGCACCTCGACAGGCTCACACTCGACAACTGCTCTACAACCTCCGCCTCCGCCCCCACCCACGCCCCCGCCACCACTCCCACTCCCACCGCTACCGCCACCGCCACCAGCACCGACACAGTCACCGCTATCGTTGTCATTGCCGTTGCCTTTGCCGTTGGCGTCACCGATGGCGCCAGTCGCCTCGACGACTGGATCGTTGGTTGCATCGACGACGGGGACGGCGGACACTCTGTTGCTGCTGCAGGCTCTGTTGACGGCTGGAGGCGGCGGCGGGCTTCTGGGCCCGACGACGGTGAGTTCGAGCGCCGGACAACAGTTGCCTAGGCCGACGATGCTCGAGACGTCCGGTCTCCCCGCCACCGCCATAGTCAGTCTGCCCACGTGCACGGGCTGGACCGGCGGCCCGTCTGACGGACCGGCCTATGGACAAGTCAATTTTGCGCATCTCCAACATCAACATCAACATCAGCATCAGCATCAGCACCAGCATCAACAGCAGCCAAGCCTGTCAATCTCTGCGCAACACCACCACCACCACCACCACCACCATCAGCAGACCCAGCAAGCCCAGCTGGCCCAGCAACAGCAACTTTTGGAGGCCCAGCAGCAAGCTCATCCCGGACCTGCCCACGTCTCGTTGAACGCCTTCACGGCACTGGCTGCAGTCGCGGCAGCCGCGGTCGGTAACAAGTCTGCCCTGCAGAACAACGCCTCAACAGGTTGCCTCGGTTACGTGGGCGGCGTCGGGGAGGCGAGCTGCGGTGGCGGCGGCGGAGGCGGTGGGTGTTCGCTGGGCGACGCTATGGCGGCCGGTTGCTGTGCCGGGGCGAACGGACACAGCGGGCCTCTGTCCAGTCTGTGCTCCGTCGGTGGCGGGGGCGGAGGGATGGGCGGCGAGCTGTCTCACCTCTCCGGCCTTGTGGCCGGCCCCGGCGGCGCTGGATTGGCCCTGTTCGCCGGACTGCCCTCCTTCCTGCACTACTCACAAGTCGGCCAGCAATCGAGCGGCTTCACGACTCTGTCGCCGGCGCCCTCCACCAGCACCAGCACCAGCAACACCGCCAGCCCCGCCTTGCTCTCCGGCGACCCGACGGCCGCTCTCTTCCTCGGCCCCGGCGGCTCGCGGCCCGGCGGCCAATCAGGCCACTCGAGTCAGTCGGGCCAATCGGGCCAGTCCGGCCCAACGGGCCAATCAGAAGAGGCCCAGCTGCACAGGCACTACGCCGTCCCATTCTGCCTGACCGAGACGGCCCTGTCGGCCGCCAGCCCCGGCGGGCCGCCCAGTCCCGCCAGCCCAACCAGTCCCGTCAGTCCGCCGGTCGCCTCCTCCTGCTCAGTCGGCGGCCTCTCGCTCTCGCTCTCGCTCTCCGGCCCCGACGCCCTCAGCCCCGCCGGCACTCCGCCCATCCGCCACACGCCCGCCGGCCTCCTCAACGGCCCCTCGGCCGACCTGCCGCCCGGCCTGCTGCTGCCCGACGGCCCAGCCGGCCTCGCCAGGCCGCCGGGAGGTCCCGCCACCGCCGTCACTCTAAGCACCGGCGAACTCTACTCCCAACTGATCGCCATCGCCGGAGTCGCCGGCCCGCCTCCCTCCTGTGTCGGCTTCCCCTTCCTCCAATCGATCGCGGCCGACCAATCGCTGCTGCCCACCAATCAGACGACCCCGTCGTCAGTCTCTTCACTCGCCGGCCTCGGTCTCGGCCTCGGACTCAGCCTTGGCCTTGGCCTCAGCCCCTCCTCGGGCGGACATCAACTCGTCTACAGCCCCGCCGGCAGCACCACCACCATCCCCGCCCCTGCCCCCGCCCCCGCACCCACCTCTGTTCCCACCTCCG